TATGATCGCTGGAACTGAAATTACAGATACAGAAATACATCGAAAGGAAAAAGGGATTATCATCAAATCACTGAGAGAGAAGATCAACAGATATGTTTATAAGCATTTTTACCAATCTGCATGTGGCCTTATGACCTGATGCATGTAACATCATTTCTGAAGCTTCCACGAGACTGAGTGAATGTTTGTTTTTCTTTTTTGTTTTCATTAAGCCCTGTGTGAATTAGACATTTATTTGGAATAAGGGTGAAATGAACAACTATTAGGGACCGTTTACCAAACGTTTACCCTGGTAAGTGCTTACCAAGTCACATTACCTTACCGGATGAATATGGTAAGGACCAAGAATCTTACCTGCTAAGTCCAAGATTGAATAGCCCTGTTATGTGTGTGTATGCATAGAATGCTTGTTGCATATTATCATGATGCTTGTATCATCTGAGCCATATCAATCTGAAGAAGTAATATTTCATCTCTAGGTAAGATTGCATTTAGTTTCGTTTGAATTTGGTTTTGAATCTCCATATCAAATTGGTTTTTTTTTTTATTGTGGATAGCTCTACAGGACTGAATCTCATCTATCGGTAGAACCGAATTAATTGTTCACGTGATTCATATGAWTKTTCCACACTCGATTCAAGGTAATTAATTGATCTTTCTGTTAATAGTTGTTCYTGCACATTTTGTGCAAAGCATGTATTTGGTGCTGGGAAGGTTTTGCTCCCATTTGACCTTATTTGATAGTGTGATTTATTTAAGGCTTTGCTTCCATTCTTGCACGTTCTCTTGATAGTGTGATTTATTTAAAGAATTTGATCTCATTTGAACCCATTCCCTTCTTCGTTTGAACCATATACACATGTGAATCAACTGTCAAGTTCTGTCCATTCCCCTCTTGATAGTGTGATTTTATTACCGAGTTCTGTCTCATGTAGCCTAAGCTGCCCGACTAATTTGAGCGTAAGCTAAACCAGTGAGTTGTACTTGTTTGCCAAAGTAGGTACAATTTTTATGTTTATCAAAGACCAACATAGGAGTTCCTACAATCTTTCTTTTTCTTTGCATTGCATCATAGGAAACAACAAGCAAAACAACCTATGTGATAATGTAGCGGGTGTTTTCAAATAAAAATTATAGTCTATCAACACGTTATCACATGCAACAATTTACCTGGTAAGCGCTTACCAGGTAAGAGTCGTCACCATCACTTATTGGGTAAGACTCTTCATCTTCATTGTTGCTTTTACAGGATAAGATTTTCAACCCTTGCCATGTTCATCCAGTAAGGTAAATGACACAGTGATTACCAATATGATTTTACATTCCTGCATATCATTTATCATATTTGAATTCCTGCATACCCTTTTCACCATTAAAGCTTATGTTGAATTCAAATCTATTGAAGCTTTATGATATGATTTTGATTTTACCCTATTAGCCTTGGTACTGTAAACTTCATAAATATCATGTTCTAGGAATAGGATAATGTGATAAGTTAGGTGTCTTATCTCAATACATTGTGTCAGGTGTGTCCTAAGATACAACCTTCTTGAATCTTAATCCTTAATTTAGGTGGCTGAATTATACATGAGATTCTGATGGGGATGTCATTAAAAGGTCTATTGGGAAACAGTTAAGCTCTTCGATTACATTGTCCTTGAATTTGGATGACAACTTATTTGATAAAGCAAGAGGGGCCCTTAATGGACTGTGTGGTGATTATTGCACTATCCAGATTAATTCTTGGCTTGCATTGACAACCTTGCATGGGTGTTTCTGATAAGGTTATATATGGTGTATCTACACACTCCAAATATGGAATATGGGCTCCTGGGCAATGTTTAGCAATATATTTGTTTCAGTGTTACCTTTAATGTTTCTTGTGTTGATTGTTGTGCAGGGGGGAATGATGCATTTTAGAATGAGATTAGCAAGGTGGATGATTAAGGTTTACATTGCTATGTTTTCATGCATGGTTGGTGTGTAGGTTTACTTTAATCCATAGTGAAGACTACCTTGAGAGTTTGTATCACTGTTGCTTACTAAGTCTTAGCTGAAATATATTTTGAGTAGACACATTCTTTTTATAAAATTAGTTTATGTATAGTTTTGTAATTTTGATCATTTTGAATAAAAATTGATTTCGGATCAATCTTAATGAAGTACGTTTTTTGACATCTTAAAAAAAATTTGATATTTTGAAATTGGATAAATCTTAATGAAGCTTTTACATCCCGCTGCATTGCGCGGGTACACAACTAGTATATATATATATATATATATATATATATATATATATATATATATA